TTTTGCCGCGAGTGGAAGAAGTTGTAGCTGCAGTATTTCGCGATTCCAGAAAAAGAAAACTGCAATTTACTCGCTGAGAATAATCCGTGATGTGTTTTCGTTTCTCTTTTCTGGTTCTCTTAACCCGTTGGTTATTCCATTCTCTTGTTTTTCGCGCGGACAGCAGATTGTTCTTCTCAATTATATTTTATTATTTTTACATCGATCATCTACGTATTATATTTCATTAGATCGATCGTAATATTTATTTTTCCGCTTCGAGGCAAAGTTGCAAACTTTTTTTCTCTTGCGTAAAGATATAAATTCTCGCGTGAAAGATATAAATTTAATAATAGGAAATAATTTATTATCTCCGAGATATTTCATCGTTCCCATGGTAATATAATACGATCATAACGAAGTATAAGAGATTTTTCATGAAGTTTAAAATCACCGTATTTTAGCTTCTCACGTATTTCGAATAAATAAAGGATTAAGCATTGAACATCGGTTATCCATTTGTCGTTTCAAATCCAATATTAATCCTTTCGCGAGACCAGAAAGATCCAGCTTTCCGCCGTCGCGACAATAATTTCTCATTACGTGTTAATGAATTCGATATTTTAGCCGGACGTCTGTTTAACAAGCAGAAGTCGAATTTTGCAAGTTCTGTGTCGTAGAATGCGTCCAATCAAAGCGGATCTGCGGCGCGCACTCGCGTACACGGTGAATAGACTGCGATTTATTTCTCGTTTCGCCTCTCGTGGTCCTTTAATCCGCCGGTTACGTTTATCCTCCTACTTTTCGTGCGTCCAGCGATGCGCGACGAGCGCAACCACGCTCGTGCGCGCGCGCGCGCTTGCGATCGTGCATATATATGTATACGCAAGCGTGTGCGGCGGCGTGCAAGGGCACACGCACGTGCGCGCGAGCGCGCACGCGTATCCGCGTATCCGCGCGCGGCGCGCCGCGGCGGCCAGTGAAAGTCGAGACTATACGCGCGCGCGGCTTTTGCGCAACGAGATCGCTGTTGTCTCCATCGGATACTGGTTCGACTTTAAAAGGCTCGATCGCAGAAAGGCATCGAGACATTCGGCGTGACTGGGCGTTCACGTCATACCTTGCTTCCAAGAATGAGACACGGTGGAAGCATCCCGCGTAATCGATTGAAAAAGAGTTAGAAGAGATGCTAGAGACAACCTTAGCAAGCTGGATCGACGTCTATTATCACTTTAATTTTTTTATACAAAACGCAAACTTATTGTTTTGCAATTAAGTGTCATGTGCAATAAAGAGATCACGCGATACAATATTAAGAATTCAAAAATTTTAAAAATTCTTTGCAATTGAACATTTTCAATTTTCTTTTCGCATTATATAACGCACATATAATTTCTATCTGCACGAAGCGAGATATAACATTTTGTGCATATTTATGTATACATATAAACTTATAAACATTGTATATTTTGCGTCTATTAATATCGTCGCGTTACCAACAAAAAAAACTTTGCATTAAATTGCTCTAGATTACTCTAGAAGTAAAAAAATAAATGCCCATCCGGCTTTTTTCAAAATAATTTCATAACATAGGCTTTAATTATATTCTTATTTATATTTATTCTTAATATTTTTATGTATTTACTTTTGTTTTCGTTTTTCTATTTTTTTCTTAACATTTAAGTATTAGCCTGTCAAAGTATGTTGAACAAAATTTATAGATTCTTGAGACATTTATAAAACGCGAACAGACATCAACTAAAGTGTTACCGATTTTCGAATCGTAGCAACAATTATTTGTTTTTTTTTTTTAATTTGGTGTATTCTCTCCCCTACGTAGTTATCGATGGCATTACTTTAAAAAATCACAACGATTTCCTCTCCGAAATACATCGATGATTTCATAAAAGAAAAAAGAAGAATTGCGACAGCGCGGCGTCGAGATTGTGAAATGATTACATCTCTCTTTTCTCGTCGTTTTGTTTCTCCGAAGTCCGTTGCCTCGCATCGTTGCCATTGTGTGTCTGCCATAATATATACGAATCCTTCTGTCTGCCTACGAAAAGATTCTCGCTAGCGAATATCAAATATGAATCTGTCATCCTCTCTTCTCGCTCTTCTTTCATCTGTACGCGAGTGTTTTCCGCTTCCGTTTTTGTAGTACAAGATATCCTGACGTGACGGGACGCGCAGCGCACACCTCTCCTTTCCATTCCGCGCGGAATCGTCGCCGTCCCGGTGATACTTTTATGTAACAGTTCCACGGAAAAGTATAAGTCACCCTGCTTTTGCGGCACGACATCCGTGAGTAATCTCGCCGACGACGTGTTTACAAGCACATGAGAAAAGTTTTGTCATCGTTTCCTGGCAGAAATAAACCCAGACTGACACGTAAACGTTCAATTATTTAAATAGCTCGCGGGAATTATTTTAAGAAAAGCGATGATTAATACGCACGCATAATTTACTTCGATCGGCAAATTATCGGGGCAATCAATTTTACACTTCGTGCTTTTAAATCGATTACTGTATGTTTCTTATCGCAGCATTTCTCTTTCTCTTTCTTTCTCTCTCTCTCACACACACACGAGTTATTGCGTATTTTTAGTTAAAAATTTCCCGTGGAAAAGTCCTTGAAAATTATTGCTCACATTTAAAAGATGTGTTGTGTTATTTCGAAACAGTAATATTTTGCTCGACCGATTAGTTCCGAGAAAGTTTCTCCACATTTGCATAAATGCATTTATAGAGAAAGTCTCTCTTCAGCTAGATAAAGTATTCGTAGTGAATACTTGTTAAGTTAGCTTTCGTTCTTTTCTTTTCTATTTTTAATAAATTGTGTAAGTTTACTTTTTCTCGAATCTTTTTCGCATAAACTTTAATTAATTGTACTGCTTGAATAATAAAATTATAAATTCCTTTATCTTATACACTTGATAAAAAAATTAATTTTTATATATATAACACATCTTACATAACACATTACATTAAGCTATTTTACATAACAGTTTATATTTTCTAAATATAATTTTCTCTTGTAACTATATCAGTTATTTGAAATGAAATTAAAAAAAAGAATGAAAGAAAAAGGGAAAGAGCAAAAAATAATTTTTTAATAAACGTACAATTTTGTAGGAACCTTTTTCAGATTCAATTCTATTTTTAGATACTAATAAAAGTTTGTAGTCTGTTTTTAGTTACAGCGAATTAGATTTGAAACACACAAACTTTCAGCAGATGACAAAATGTCTTTCTCCGAGAAAGAATCGACATACTTTCTCCTCAACACAGATTCGCTTGAAAAGAACTCTTTTTCAATGTAACAATAATAATATTCTGGATCAGATAGTAATAAGATTCTCGAGCTTTATTTTTCGGACTTTAATTTTATATATTTTGACAATTAAATCTGAAAGTTAAAATAAAATTTACTCAAAACTAATTAAAGAATGGAATTCTGTCATCTGCGTTCATATCTAACGAAACTTAAATCGAGGACTCTTTGTCCTTCGATCGATACATGTATTTAAATTACTAGTTCAGTCTCTATTATCTACTAGTCCACGATTGCCGAGGCATCCTGTACACATCGTTCGCTTTACATTCCGCCAACAAGGCGACGGGATGCAGGATCGCGTTGGCGTTATCGCGTGGGACATCTCTCGACCTGGCCATCATCGAAAGCCTTCGTGAATTCTTTCGCTGATGATCCTCATTACATCGCGAAGTACGGGAACACACACGCGCGCGGCTCCTCTTACAGTTTATACGGAGTGTATTCAAACCACGTATCGTAAGCCGTAATCGGTACGGCGATCACGTGCCATCGTCCGAAAACAATGTCGATGAGCGCGCATGGTGCAGTCTGACTTGGAGAAAATTCGACGACGGGAGTTGTGTCAACAAATGTACATACGTGTACATGACTGCGCGCGCGTGTGTGTGGTGTGTGTGTGAGAGACAGGAAACGGCCAAGGTTGTGGCGACGCATCACCGTATAGGTACTCTGTCATAGAATCGATTACATCAAGTATCCTCGCCAGAGAAAAGTGTGCCAGACGATGTAAAAAGTTATATTAACTTTGGTTGACATTGTGTGTATAACTTTGAGAGCTCGCAATATTTTTTTCGTTGTTTTCGCGAATGCGCGCATTTTTTAAGGTAGTGCCAGGGCGACTTTTTTTTTTTCTTTTTTTGCGCTGACAGCAAGGAGAAGGGAAAAGTTTTGATCCGACTATAGGATTTCTTAGGCGTCTCATCATAAATCTTTTGATATCTTTTTAATCTCACTCTTCATCTATCTTCACCGAGCCGTCTTCTTCTTTTTACGTTTGGGTAGAGCGCATTCTCAGGCGCAATTATAGAGTACAGCCTAATGAAACTCTCTCTCGTTCTCGGGGGGGTGGCCGTAAAGAATGCCGGAGCGCGCGTTAGAAACGCAGAATGCGATAGCGATAAAGGTGTTAACTATGTATTTCTGGTAATAATGCGTTTCGATGGAAAAAAGGATCATGCCTTTAATTGCACCGAATAAGGAAGCCGCTGAAAACAACACGCAACATAGCGATTCGGTTCGACGGTCTTAGAACCGACTAATCCTCGCGGCGGAGGAGGAAGTAACCGCTCGCGCACCGACTCTCATACGATTCGTGCCAGTTCACCCATAAAATAACAGACGAAGCTGAATTATCGGTGAAATTTCAAAACCGGACTGACAGCCCTCTTCCGAGAGATGATCGCGTCGGAACGAAGCGTGAAAACGGAGCCGCGTCTCAGCCCTCCTTCCCCGCGCGTTCATTTCCTGATATTGATTATGCGGGACGACCACAAATTCGCGCCACACTTTTACGCCCGTGTTAGAAGCGTGTCACGAGCTTGTGCTCACCGTGTATTATCAGCCGTCAATCGCGCGGTCTTTTACGCGCGCGCACGCGGTCTCGTCCGCGACGTCCGCATATTTCACGCTCCGCCGAGACTAACTTTCACTAAATAATCCTCGCAATGTTACTTCGGCATTTCAGGACAGCGCGCGCCATGCGTCAACCTTAAATCCTACGAGAGACGAGGGATCGGGACGACGGGATCTGCGATCAGCGAGCGGCTAAAATGTTGAAGGTACGTCAGAAACCTTGATTAAGTTATATTTCCGATTCGCTGATAAATTCAGTTTTAAGTACATTTAAGTTGCCACGTACATAATTAAGGAATTTTAATCTCTGAAATCGATCTCTCTCTCTCTGGAACAACTCCTCCCGGAGTAATTACAATCAACCGCAAGAATCTCCGAGAGCGATCGCTGAAACTCGAGAGGTAAAGCCTGATGAAAGCAAGCTCTTTGGTAAGAGCGGAACGAGGAGTGATTTTCCGTTTGGCGTATTGCCTGGGGCGAGTTACTCGGATTCGAATAAATTCTCATATCTATAAGTTTATTCGCGTTATTATTCATAGATATTTCACTTCTGCCGCGAATCTCGAGTCGCTATAAATAGACGCAGGAATTTGAGCTAATCATCGTATTAGCGTGTCTAACGGGCTGTCGTCCTCAGCGGGACGACGTCGGGCCCGGCAAAATGTTCCGTCGCGTGTCTGCCGCAGAAAATTCGCATTCCGGGATAGACAGCACGACACCTCGGCACGGCGCGGCGGTCAGTGTAAACCGGGTATTTTGTTACCGTGTGTACCACCGCGGCGAGCGCGCGCATTACCGCGCGGCGTAGTCTAACGGTCCGCAAGTCGGTCCGGCGGCGCGAGCGCATCGAAGCGTGCCCGAGACTCTCCTTCGTTCGCGGTCCTGCATTGCCGCAGTCATCGTTAGACTGCGCGAGAGAGGGACCCCGACGGAGGAGGAAAAGGCCACGGAACGACCACGCGGGACGCGTTTCCCTTCGATTTCTCGTGCGTTTCCTATACCATGCATCGCTCGCTTCCGCGCGGCGCGGCGGCGATAACCATAAGTGCGCGAGGCGCACAATATGCGAACAAATATGATGAACGCAGGATATCCTTTTTACTGTATCAAAGAAATTAATTCGGCCGTCTCGGGAGGAATTAATTATATGGACGCGTTTCGCGCGGAGAGTCTGCAGGTTCAGCGACGCGCGTATCTCGCGTGTTAAAAAGGATTCCATTCCGCAATCGCGTAAGGTATTAATGATGTGCGGCGTTATAATGGTAAAGTAAACTACGGGGCAATTATCCTGTTAAATCGACAATTCGACTTATTGTTGAGGAATAATGCCGCTAGGAAATTTCTTACGGCTTTTTTCTTATCTTTCTCTCTCTCTCTCTTTCTCGCCGGACACGGTAGTCGACCGCATGAGAAAGCGCCGAGATTGCGCCAGGCAGCGGAAGACCGGATATCAATCGCATCTTTTTTTAATGGTCTCGCTGCTGAGCGGATAATGGCTGTGCCAAACGTATCTCAACCATCTCTCGCAGTGACGTGAAAGGGTTGAGGCTTGATGGATAAACACGATAGAGTCGCAATAAAATCCCGCACGTTGCATCGGAACGCATGCGAGTCGGCCGTTGTGGAAAGGGCATGACTCAACTTTTCTACGAAAATAAGTTCTATCAGAGGGGAACACTGTACCGTTAGGGTAGCCTCGGCGATCCGCGCACGAAGGTCTTGAGACGCGCTTTAAAGACAAGACTCCTCTACGCAATTCCATTCCTAATTATTTTCGGAAAGAAGTATAATGGAAAAAGATTCACGCAACGCTTTTGAAAAAATTTATCTCTCTGCACGCTATACTTTGCCGTATCCAAACGACCAAAATATTTGTTCTTTCAATATATGTGTTATGCCGAAAAAAGTGAAGATAAAAGTAAAAAATTTTCTGTCCCTATACTTTTAAAAATTTTACAGTATTAGATATAAAAATTAAACTGAAATACTTTATTCGGTTTGAAATATTTTGAGAAAGAATGTGAAATCTCATCTGCGCGTATCCGTCGCTCTTATTTTATCTTTAAACCGATGCGATTTTTGTTGTGTGTGCTTATTTTGTTTGTATAATTTTATATATCTTTTTTACAATCTATAGAGAAATCTATAAAGACAATTTGCATTCTTGATTGGCGTTTCGTCCTTGCATTCCCACTATCGCGAATAGAATTTAAAGACATGATTGAAGCTTTAGTAATAGGGCTGTTATTTTCAATTTCGAGATGCCGCCGAAGACAAACGTTCGAGGAGGACGAGAATAATTAAGGATCATAAAATGATTTGCGTAATGGGCCTCTTAAAGCGCGCCGCGCGAGTATACCTCGTTTCTCAGCAGCCACGGGAGGTTGGGAAGTGTAATATTACCAAAGGGACTGGTAATGTGATTTAGCGCGCGCTCGGCGTACGATGGCTGCATTAAGAGGCTTTTTTCTCGTTTATTTCGAACTTCTCTCTCGTACCGCGACATGCCTAATACGACGTGTAAAAAACGACACGGGCGAATAATACCGCGGTGGAGGCATCGCCAATTAAATCGCGCGTTGTTATTTCCTATTTAACTGTTCCTTTTCCACGTGCATAGCACATCAATTAAACAATTAAGTGAGCGCGCGCGCGCGATCCGCTGCAGCACGTTCGGAGAAAGGAAACTCAGGAAGCAGGAAACGCTACAATTGCCATGGGATTCTCCTGTGATTTCTCGCGCGTTACTTTCCGCGTGTTCACAATTGTGGACGCGGCTCCTCTCCGAGTAGGAAGCTGTAAAGTCTTTAACGAGCCTTAACAAACTGCCCTTCGAAAGCCTGCCATTTGCGATTTTACGGAACAGTTGGCGCGATCGTTACAATAGGTATATGTCGTCTGATAAGTACAAAAATGATGTCTGTATAAAAAGAAATTAAATAAACATTTTCGTAAATATTCATTATTTAGTACTTGATATCTTGGCAAACTATAAATTTGTTAACAAGGTTTATTCCTATATATTCAAAATATGTTTTTTTTTTTTTTTTTTAATATATTAATTTAGAAGAAATTTTATTTATTTGCAGAAAAAATTGTTTTTTAATTAATTATATTAAATTACAAAAGCTCGCGTTGAATTTTCGCAGTCAATTTATCAAATAATCAACAGAAATAAATGTGAGATAGCCAGTATTTTCTGTTATTTTTTCTCGATTTATTATAACCATCATGCGTTTCAAAACGTTTTGCTGATCGCTTTCGACGTAGTTTATATATAACGCATCCATAATTAATATAACTATCTCTGGCCAACGTGATATCCGGCACTAATAAATGGCCCATCCTATCTGTCACGCTAATCGATTACTCTTGAATTATGCACTCACCGCAATTTAGGCCTATAGCAAGTTTTATTTTAAGGAACAAGGATGAGTATCGGCATAAATAACCCGAATCTAATTTTACTTTTTACTAACGATTGATAGCCAGTCCGACATTTAGGTTGCCGTTCTGCATATTTATAGCGCGATAATGCTCCTTCGAACAACGTATTTCACTTTCACGTGCTGTTTTATGCTTTTTTACACAGACTGTTTTACAACCATCGTACGATAATTTAACGGCGTATTTTGAAAATTAATTGGAGATGCAGATCTCAAAAATGTTACAATTGTGCTCGAGTCATAAACAAATAAAGTTGGCTAATATTATTGCAGAGATTTTATGCGCTCAATATCCTGTATATATTTCACATTTTACTTCATTTCAAATAATATAAAATAATAAATATAGATGGATAGACTATGACGGAATAAAATTGTTTATACGTTATAAATGCAATTGCATTTATAATAATAATTGCATTTAATGTATAAATTGCATCTTTATTAAAACAAATCATTGAAATATTTTATGAAATGATTCAACAAGTATTCTCCATGCCTGTTTTATATTAATATTTAACCTTGGAAAGATATCGAAAACTCTACCTTAAGACCTTAGATTATATTACAGAAAAAAGAAGAAGAAGGAAAAATATAATACATCTAAATAACTAATAATTTATTTCTATTGTGTTGGAATTATTAGTATTTTAATAAAATAAGTAATTTTTACTTTTCATAAATACATATAATACATAATTAAGCTTCTTATTTTAACGTTAATCATTCATAAAATAGAACGCCAACAAAGAATTTAAATAAAGACTTTATATTCCAAAACTGTATCTTATTTGTTCTACTTTTATTTTATCTCTTCCTCTTTTTTTGTTTTATTATTATTTCTCTGTATCAAAAAATAGAAAAATTCAATTATAGTATGCTTGATAAATTGTTCAAATCATTATTAATGTCTTATATCTTCATAGTATCCTCAAGAGTATTTCATGAAAATCTTGTGCTTGGCAAAAAGAAATGATAATATTTTATTGATAGAACTGGTGACAATTCCTCTATTGTGAAAATCACTTTATCATTGTTACTACTTTTTATCGAGCTTATTGTACTTATGAAATATTTTCTATTTCATAGCGTGTTTTAGGGTTAAACGTGTTAATCTGTTTTAATTTATCGATTAAAGAAAACTGGCAATAGATCTATGATGTATTTTATTTATTTGTAATATTTATGTGTTTCCGACTGAGTGCATACATTTTATACATACTCGATGTACTTTTTTTCACACAGATCCATTACCTTAAATTAAAAGAATGTATAAAATTCATTACTCACCGATACGATGCGCAACAGCGGAATTGTAACGCTACGTTGATCTGTATAAAAGAACAAAAATATGTCTAAATTAAAATACATATATATATATATATATCTGGGAAAATAACCAATATTCGAGAAATAATTGTATCGCGTATATATAAAACGGTTATAAATGATTAATTCCGACAGTAACAGATGAAATAATAAATAACGAGTTATTCACTCCTGTGAGTTGCTCCACTACTCCGTCGCTCGCTTCCCCGAGCCTGCCTTTCCTCCCTTGATCGTATTTCCCGTACTTTCATTGTTTTCTCGCGGCATATATATATATATACTAATTCACGAAAACACGTAACGACGTTAATTGCGAATCAACACGAAATCGCATTTTGCACGGTATTCTCGGTAGACATGCGTTTTATTACATCCAAAAAAAAAAAAATTAAAAGTATAACAGTTACCCAGTTACGATTTGTTCGACAATGTCCTGCGAAGGAACAGCGAGTTAAATATTTCATAGCGCCGTGCTGTAACGAGCGAACCTCGAACGGGAATTTTAATAAGTAATGTACATGCCGAATGCTAAATTTATGCCATTGATAAATTAATGCGATTGATAAATGTTGAAATACCGGAATTCAATTTCGATAATTACGTACTAATCAAACGCGTCGCAGTGCCACTCGATTCACAGTCGGTCCGTTTTGTTCCGTTTTACTAATAACTGAGAAATTCGTCACCTTTAATAATGCGGAATACGGCGCGCTTGATGAACCGAGATAACGATTAATTGAGACACGATGGATCGAAGCTCTCAAACGCACAAATGCCACGAGGCACACATGTATTATTAATAAACAGTTGATATAATTACGATTTTCCGTTACGTTTAAATCATCATTCGCACGAGCCGGTCTGTGATTTGCGTGCTACTCCGCAATCCGGACATGGTGATTTATGTTTCAAAATGCAATTACGTTTAATTGCGAAAAATTAGAAGCGCAACGCGAGATCGTCATCCGTAAATCTCACAGTGAAATAATTTATAATTGCGATTGTCGTTACGGTTTCTATTTTAAGTCAACAAGTCGCGCTTAGATTGCAAATGTCTACTTAGATAACCGTCCTGTCGAGCGCGCGTTGCGGGAGAAAGAATTATCGCTCGTAAAAATATCGTGAAACGATCATTTATAAGTTTCGAATCACTGTTTCTTGCCGTAGGAGAATGAATCGATACATTTTATCGTGGGACGATAATTGCTATTTGTTCGTGTTCTCTGCCTGTACCTGTCTCGAGGGATAATGATGCCATGCGACACGAAGATCGGCTCGCGTCGCTGCCTATCGGCTTCAGTCTCATCGTCACCGAGTGACGATACGACGCAAGGTCTTGTGACAATGCGCGGCGTATACACCACCAAACAAGCATTAAAAGTATACGTCAGTCGATATCGCGAAATATTCATTACAACGCCATACCCAATATTAGACATAATTGTCGAATATTCTATTCCTTATCAGATTAAGCTATTGATATGTATTATAACAGCAGCTATGCCAACATCATGTCATTTGCATATTCTCTCTTTTTCATTTCCATGTGACCTTCGTGTAAATCCTGTGCGTGCGCAGCAAATTAAATTAATTATATTAATTATCAATAATCGACAAAACTAATTGAATGGCGATATTGGCGATTCGATCTGAAATAAGATATACTTATAAAAAAATAAGAAATTAGGAAATTATATATCGGCGAAAAGTTTAATCAAGTTAAAGCAAGTTATTAACTTGAATGTAGATATTCTTAAGGAAATATTCGTTATCCGTAAATCTCACAGAAGAACAATTTATAATCACGATTCTCTGTCACTATAATACGGTTTCTATTTAATTTAAATGAGCAAATCGCGCGAAATGTCTGCTTAGATAACCGTCTTGTCGACACAGTTGTTAGTCGCATTAATTAATCGCGCAAGTTCATTATTTGATTTGTATTCGCGTTGTAATTATTTGCAAGGGATAATCGCGTTTCGAGAGATAATAACACGACGACCGCGACGCGCGGAGCGGATCGCATCGCTGTCTGTCGGCTCGAGTATCGCCATGCGAATGACACAAGGTAATCAATCTGTAAACAGTAAGCCGTACGCAGTGCGAAGGACGTGTGTGCCAGGCAATCCGTTGACTATGAAATTTTTAACGTTTCGGTATAAATATCGAACGTTGTTTCTTGCATTTTAATTTCCTTGATCATTATTGCTCATTAAAATATTAAATACAATACGTTTGCTTGAAAAATATAATTCAGTTAGATTGTAAAAATATTTATGTAAATTATTACGATGTAATTTACGTGAATTATTTATTGTTATTGCTTTTTGCTAAATTTTTACTGTAAGAAATAATATTGCGAGATATTGATAAACCAGGAATTTTTCTTATGATTTTAATAACTCAAAAGAATGGAATAATGTCGCGTCGCGCCGTGGAAAATGTGACGACGCATTTATTTCCTTGGCTTATTAAAGTCACGCGAGCGCATTATTCTGGTGATATAAAAATTGGGCAAAAAATAATAATAAATTATAATATTTTTCGCGTAAAATGCAAATAAAGTATTTTTTATATTTAAATTAACACGCGGGTACATTAAACAATTGTTTATTTGAAATAAAATAATTATACCCTTATTTAAATTTTTATTACAGAAAATATTAAATAATTTGCAAGTAAAAGAGTTAAAATTTGTTGTTAATAATTATGTTAATATCAGCTAATTATTATGTATATGTAATACATAATAATTAGTATATCAAAAGATAAAATCAGTCAAGCAATAAAAAGCAATATCATTCGAGCTGTAAAAATCAATAAGAGATGACAGACGGTCATCGTGAAAAAAATGTAGTCAAGGGTTTCAAGAGTATCGCATTTTATGCGATACTCTTTTGTCAACTCCGATTGCTTACTTACAATTAAAAAACGATTGTCGTTTCAACATTTGCATATTAGTATTTTTAACTCTAATTAATCTCTAGAATACACTATATCTTTTTAATTTCCGTACATGACGTATGTATGTACATATGTTTGCTCTTTAATTTTTATTCTCAACGACAGAAAATCTCATATTTATTCTAGCTTATTTAACAAAACTGTTTAAGATCTTAAATTTTTTGTTTTCGTGTAACAGAGACATTACATCGAGACGAGAATCTTGTTACGGATTTAAGAGGAAGTACTGTTTTGACGGTCTTATTTTTTTTAACGTCTCGCTCGGTCCGGCGAGCGTGCAGGACGGCGCGGCGTGAGTTACACGCAAATTCCTCTCACGCGCAGTTAAGCAGCGGCGTACGGCGAATAATTTGCCGCGTGTCCAGTTTTCAGCGAACGGTAATGCCCGGCGCATCGCGGAATCGCGAAATTCCCCGGGTAACGACGACGGCGGTCAAATGATTCACGCCCGTTTCCGCGCGAACCTATTATCGCCGGGAGTATCGTCGTCTGGCGTTTACGACGTGCGTTTGCCGCGTGCGCGGCCGTGCAGACACGCGGGCACGCGGCGCGCGTAGCAACGCGAGCGGAGGCGCGCGATACACATTTTTGTACGCAAGCAATAATGTCTATAATTTGTGCGTTTGCTTAAGTGCAATTACCGGCGGTGAGCGTAACAGTATCTCGTATAGATGAGCACACTCGAGGGGCAGCGGCCTCGCCCCGGATACGATCGTTTCGTATATCATTACACGCTTTGTAATGTGTCATCTGCATTTTTCTTTCCTTAACGAAGGACGGCGCTCGCGTTACGCCGGGGAAAAAAAAAAGAATCGCGCGAGCGTTACACCGTTCGACAATTACCCGTAACTCTGCGGAACGTTTAACTTTATCGTCGGGTAGCGGAATTTCTGGACTGAGATTATATCGGTACACGCCGAACATTGAAGATCACAAGATCCGCTTTATATCTCGAGAGAAGATTTCGTGACGGATAACGGCTTTCTCTCTTTGCTCCAGTTGAGTAGAACTGCATTACTGCAGTCTATAGAGCTCTCGTCGAAGGGCGACGTGGTCTCGAGGTAGTGTACAGGGTGTACCGAAAAATTAGTTAGCCCCGCTTTTTCCTCAGTCGTAACTTTCGTAACGTCCATGAATTTTGAATCAATCTTTGTCTAGTGAATACTCGAATGCTATTGCGACTTTTCACGATTTTCAGGAAGTTAAATATCTATGTAATTGAGCGAAATTATACGAGAGCAAAGTACACAGTTCAAATTAAGTAAATAACGTTTTCTCAAGAGAAATATAAAACAAATCGTTTTGCAAGCGCGTTCCAACCTTTTTTATAATTAAGAAAGATACCGCCGTAAAAAAAAATTGTTCTTGATGTTTTGCAGTTCAAAGAGAAAGCGCGGTTTCTGACACACCTTGTATGGTGTATGAGACGTGGCGTGTTACGGTGGTCAAACCACCTCCGTGTACAGTCCCACGTGAATCGGGCGATGCGTATAAACAATGACGTAGCTAAGACGTACAAAGGAAAACTTACGTTCTGGAAGTCGCTCGTGGGAATGTGGACAGTCGAGTTGTTTCCTCATGCTTCCCAGATGATACCTGAGAAAATAATGATAACGATCTTTGTAGTACACATTACACATGCAATATGTCACATTTGTTATTAGAGCTCATTACAGCATCAATTAGGCTAATTGTGAAATTGACGTGACGTCGCATATCTTACGATATAATAAAACCCATAGTCATTATAAAACTAAATATTACAGATTAAGTATTACTGTGACTATTAATTTAGGTCATGTAAGGATCGCGGAGAAATGATGACTTCTAGTTTTTATTCTTGGAACATATCGTGACATTATACTGTATAACGTCGTGATGCATATATATGATATCATTGTGTGCTTTATAAAAAAGAATATTTTATAATAAAAGAATGAAAGCGCAAATTCATTTTCGCAAACTTTTCGCTAGATTTTCTAATATGTAACATTCTTTCCCGTTTAATTAAAAGTATCTGTATAATTAATTACAGTTACCTTAATCTCTAGCATCGTTAATCTTTAACAATATTATCATAATAATCTTTTTTACTATCCATATTCAATTTTGTAAGTCAGTCAATTTTTTTAGATATTGATTTTACGTCTCTTCTCGTTGTAGATGCTGCCAAAATTGATACTCCTGCTCTGGGCGGCAATTCCGATTGCGTTGTCCCAGAGCAACTATGCGTCGCAAGGCAACAGCATCGAGTATCAGCCGGGACTGCCGCCGAGCACGATCCTCGACGGCAAAGTCACCAAGCTGGACGACATCTCGCCGATTATATTTTTGAATCGAACGAAAGCCTATTTGAACTGCGGCCAGGGTAGCATGGAGGTCGAGCTCAAGTTTGAGGAACCGTTTTATGGAGTGGCTTATGCCGATTTTGATCGGAACAGTGCCTGCATATTCAAAGGACGGGGTGCGACGACCGCTAAATTGGAACTACCTCTGAAAGGTACATTATTAAATTCGATATTTAATCTCCCGGCATAGAATTGTTTATTTTACAGAAATGATGACAAGAAAATAAATTTATCATTCTTGGGCATATACATATTATTTCTCAATTAAAGAAAGAAATAATAGTAAGTTTTGAATAGGCAATAGTAATATAAATATTTTAAATTCAATTTGTGTTAAATTTAACGTAATGTAACTTTCATTTAGAACAAATAAGATTTAAAATTGATTCAATATTTTTAGAACGATTTTTGATTGCTCTACTTCTACAGATTATCTGTTTTTCTGATTCACATATAATACAATTATTTTAGTTGTTGCGTTTAAAGTGTTACTCTAAGCTATTTTTACTTAACAGATTTAACTTCTTATCGCACGAAAATGATTTATATTTCAGGATGCGGTACAAAGCAGGATCCTCTACGCGTGTTCACCAATAATATAGTTGTTCGCTTTCATCCCGGATTAGAAATGGACGGAGATGAGGTTATCACAATAGTGTGCAGATACCCGCCACCCGTGGCACCGGCGCCTCCTAAGCCGCCAGAGAGCATGTAAGAATCCTTTGTTAAAATTCTTATCGAGAAAATGTATTATCAAATATAATTTCTTGCAAAAAGTGACGGTAAAATTTGTTGGAACATTCCTTACCGAATATTAAAATTTTTAATTTATCAAATCATATGCATAAATTATATATCAATTAATTAATTAAATGTTTTAAATAAATGTTACTGAAGTGGGTACTATAATAAACAGTATCGAATTTATGACAAAACGCGGTTCTTTTTCGAAATATTTTTTAAAAGATATTTATGGTAATTAACCTTTTATATACTGTAGCTCATCGTAACTATAATAATATAATTTAATAAAAAATGAGTTTTAATGGAGAGATATATGTACTTGAAATAATTATTAAGTATCCATTTAACATCGATATTCTCGAAATAATTCTTTTTGCTAAGAGAATTATCGATTATATGTACATATTGTATCATATACATATCGTTATATGATTGACAATTATACTATCACTATTGCGAAAAGCCAAATTGAATACATGACGTGTATTCAACATTTAATGAAACAAATTATATAAATCTTTCTTTCCACTATCTAATCATTTAAACATTTGTGAATAATGCATTCAATATCGCTATTTATCTTCTCACTGCGTCGAACTGAATGAAAAAGTAATTCTGTATTCAGAACGTACTGCGACAACGCATGTTTTTGTCTCTCGCAGTCTAATTACGTTTGCGGATATAAATGCGAGATATCATCCCGTGTACCGCTAACTGCGGCGCCTAACGTCGGTGCTGTTTGCACCGGTCCCGGAATCGCGTATATCCTGTTCTAATCTGATTTCCGTCTGCAGAATGGCCACGCTGACGCCCGCGTCGGTGACTGAACCGCCGCTGAAAGGCTTCCAGATCCTGTTGATTATCTGCGCCATCCTGTTCCTCTCATTGCTGCTGCTTGGCCTCGGCTGCTCCTATATGTGCCTGAAACGCCGAAACGTGCGCGTGGTCCATCGTCATCCGTTCGAAAGCGCCACCGGTTCCGAGATAACGAAACTCTCCGGCTCGTCTCTGAGCAACATCACGATGTTCGAAGGCCTAAAGATACCACGCGCGCACGCCCTTCTTCACGCGGCCGTGTCCACTTCCGGTAGCGAGGCGAATCTGGTGATCGATCATTCGGACACATTGCCGAGCGATTATCCAAGCGAGAGCCACTCCGAGGTGAGTCCCGATAATTGTCTAACAAGATGGATGATTGCACAAAATTTATTACAACTTTGAAAGCTCATACTAATGCTCGTACTAATCCTTTTAGCAACGAGCTGCGTGTATAACGGTTTTAAAGAATTTTCATCGTGAAAATCGATTTAACCGCCAGATAAATTATTGAAATTTGTTTTAACGATTATTAATCGCATTGAAATTTGTTTGAATAAATTGTTCAATATCTATTCACTGTTTATATAAGGTAATATCGCAGTTTTATTATTATTCCACGAAATTTAACAAAATACGTTTTAAATGTCACCCATCAATTTATATTTTTATGTGAAGAAAATAAAAAAGATATTTCACAAATATCTCTTATCGTTAGTCAAAAATACCAAATAAAAAAGACAGTTGCGTAATCGATTCGATACGTTACGATCTATTCAATCATCTATTTTCATAGGTGGATGAGGAACGTTCGCTACCTGTGTCCTCCGCCGGATCCTACGACAACAAGGCATTCGTGGACCATCATGAGGTTCAACGCCAAGTGGAAATGCGTACTTCGAGCTCCCTGTACTCGGAGACAGTTGCCGCCGAAGTGGAGACTTCCTCGATGATAGCCGCGAATGCTTCGAGGATGGTGGTGCCGCGACACCCTGTGGCCATTCCTATCGAGCCCAAGTTTGACGTGCAGATGAGGGTTAAGCGGGCACCGCCGCCGCCGCCGAGCCCGCTGCCGTCGGAATCCGACGTCGCGAGCATCGCTCTCGAGAGAAATCTGACGACCATTCTGGAGAGAGAGGAGACCTCTCGCTCGCTGGAAAGCGCGCCCTACCGAATGACGACCTTCTCCTACGTGCCCGAGCTACACGGACCACCGTCATCGGTCTCGACCATCTCTCGGCAGCAGACGCCGCCGGTCTACTCCAGGATTCTACGCAAACAGGCGGAGAGAGAGACCACCGTGATCCAGGAGAAACTCCCGTCGCCGACGGCCGAGCAACCGCCGTTCCACGAGATCCGTCGGCCGAGGTCCCTGACCTCCCTGAACACCGAGCTCACCGAGACCCGCTCGTTGACCGAGGTGACGGACGCATCGCACGCCAAGTACCGGGTGGCGAGCATCCTGGCGCCTACCCCGCCGCCGCCGCCGCCAATCGCGCCTACCACGTCCACCACCACCACTCACACCGCCGTTCAGCACCGCGAGCACCGTTTGTTGCGCGAGATGACCGAGCCACTGGTCGAGCCGCAGGTAGTCGCGCCCCGCCGTCCGGAGATCACGACACACGAAGTGGACGACGTGTTCCTGCGCACCGTCACGGAGAAGAAGACGATCGAGGACGTGGAGCGTCACAGTCGCCAGATCACCGAGTATCGCGCCAGGTCCCAACCGCCGCCGGATCTCAAGTGGGACGTCACCATCAGGAACTATCCGACGGAGAATCTGCCGCCGCCGCCGCCGGAATGGGAGAACTTTTCCGACGTTAGCTCGGCCTCCAATCTGACCATCACGAACGAGCCGACGAATCATCTGGCGGACGACGAACCGGACGTGAACATCGAGCCGACTTACACCACGCGCGCCGAGATCCCATGCCGACCGCCGCCCGCGCGTCGCTCCCTCGACGACGCCGACGCCGATTGGTACACCAGGTTGGCGCGCGTCTTGGAGCCGCGTTACGCCACCGAGTTGACGGACGAGGAGCGCGCCAAGTGGCGCGAGATCATCACGACGGAGAGCACGCTGCGGACCTTGCTGACCGAGGCGGTGGTTAAGGAGGATTACGAGCTGATACGCAAGGACGCGAGATACGTTAACCTGTTCCCGCCGGCGAAGTGGGACGTGATCATTCGGATCCTGAGCCCGCCGTTGACGCACACCGGCTCCACCTCGTCCTCCAGTCACGGCAAGAATCACGGACAGAGGTACAAGCGGTCCAAGTCGTCGGAATGGGACACCAGATCCAGACGATCCTCCCTTCCCACCCTGTACGAATATGAGAGCGACGGTGGCAGCTCGGCGCGTACCTTAGGCACCCATCATCTCCAGACATCGCAATCCGCCACGACCGTGACCGGTGGACAGATCGGCCGTCCACGCCGACTTGGCGGTTCTATTCGTTCGCGGGGTGCCGGAGTTGGCAGCGAGGCCGATCTGAGATCGATGTCCGAGATAACCGTCCGTGATTTCGCCCGGATGGACAGAGACGACCTGACCAGCTTGAGCTCCTTCGAAGGCGCGGACTCGCTGGTCAGATCGCTCAGTCAGCCCAGCCTGGCCAGATCGGGCTCGGAGTTCACCGAGCACTGGGGCATGCCTTCCGGCATTCTACCGCCGTGGGCGTCCTCCGAGCACGCCGAGGATGGCGTCAGCTCCGTGGAAACGACCCCGAGGGCGATCAGGAGGGGCGACAGATTGGAGGTCCTCGCCTCCTTCGACGAGCACAGACGGGGCCCGTCCATCACAAGATCGAGTCGATACACCGAAAGGGAGCTCAGCGTACGCGTGACAGAAAACCAGAGGGCCTCAGATTGGTTTGACAACAACTCCGAGCCGGAGATGCAGATCTGAGCGGTTCCAAAAACAGATCACAGATTCTCGGTTTTTACCTCAAACCCTTTAGATACGGAGATGACATTCCTGAATTCTCGACGAAGGTCTGAGTAAAGTTATTAGGGATGAAAGTCAGATAATAGAAGCAACACTGTACCACTTGCACTTTACAAAATCAAACCTTGAGGTCATCGTTTCTAATGATTTTGTCATGTATTTTTTGTAATTCTTTGAGTCTCTTAATGTATAGTAAAATCGGTTATTAGAACCGATTGATTTCAATCGAGTCAATTTTTAGCGCTATAAATAGCAAAAAAATTATACAAATTATATCCAATAGATATAATAATTATGTTTTGAAAAATTGGTAATTTTTAAATCAAATTCTGAATAAGGAATTAAAATTTTAATTCGGAGTAATTTTAGATTTTGAATCTTAAATAACATTTGAGAAATTGCGTGCTGTTCAGAAAATGAGAAGAAGAATGCGAACCAGAAAGAGGTCCGTTGAAAGATCAGTTTTCATCTTACAATTAATCCTTCGCAACCTCCACGTTCTCTATTCTATTGCGAGCCACAATAACAATGGATTATGATTTATACGGGGCGTCGGTTCGTATTTTTCTTATAGGCACTGTTTCGGTCAGTGTCTACGTGATTCGCGCATGATGTGTGTATATGCCGCGTTTGTTTTGCTTTCAACTTCGGGACGTCCTATAGTATGATCGATACCTTGCCAAGAAAGAGGCGCGCAATGCACATTAACGGCGACGGGATAACGTTCCGCAATCGTCGGGTATAAAATGCACTTTTATTTGTAGCGACGGCCAGCCCGGCCGTTTCTTTCTTCCGTTTCTTACGTCGTCGGTCCTACCCCGCTGCCCTACTTCCTTCATGGCTCATGGCCGTTCACTGCCGATTCCGTCCTCGCGCCCGGCCCGACACGCGCGAGGACCCACGCTCAACCGCGCAAATGCAAGAATTGTTCCAATTTCGGGAATCCATCTCCGTCTCGCCGACGTCAGGATCTCGTATATATATCACGATATGTTCCCGAAACTTGGGGAAATTCAGCCGCCACTCTCTTCACACGTCACTCGCAACGCGAGACACGGGATTGCGCTAGTTATATGCCCGGTCTCGATCTCGGCGCGAGTGAGTCTGCAGATTTTGGCGAGAGTACGATAAACATATGCACAGTTTGCAGAAATTAAGCCATTAAAGCCAACCTTGTCACTTTCTTTTGTATTAACAGTTGCATTCAAATAATTACATGCAACTTTTGCAGTTCGCACGTTCTGTAAACTACAGAATGCACTATCAGAGAGATTTCATGACAAAAAAAATATATTCTACCGATTTGAGAGAACGCCACTCGAAAATTCCCAAAAGGAGAACTTTACGGACTTTGATGGGTTAATCGGCAAACGTGTGAAATCCATGGCACAGGGAATAATGCAAGGAAAAAAAATAACACAGGATGGGAAAAAAAACGATAAATAATATAGCGTAATCATATTATGAGAGGACACAAGGGCCACGCCCGACGCGGCCTAGTCCTCAGCTTCCTAACGTTCCGTTTAGATCGGGAGATCTCTTACCGAGATCACAGGGGACAACACGTAGCTCTCACGACTAAAACCACCCCCGTTTTGCGGTACAACTGCGATAATAGTCTACTTAAGTAGGTAACGAAACACACGGTGCTGGGTTATACGCTTCAAACGATAGCTAGAGATAGCTCTCTCTCCTCCGAGAACATTTACCTAACCTCTTCCCCCTCCCTTGCCTCCTCGCTCCTCTTTTCCCCCTTCAATGCATCCCTTCCGATTTAATGTATTTCGTCGGAGTGCCTGGGCTCGGCCGAGATACGTATCGACCGACACGGTACGTTCGCGCGTAGATAGGTATATTTGTAATTACGTACTTTTATGACTATAATGTATATTCACACACGTAATTTTAAAACTATGCGTAAACTCTCCCCGCGCTATCCTCGTGCAGTCATTAGAAACTTATGAAGTTATTCTCCGAATCCCTGAGCTGCAAGACGGGAGAGAGAAAGAGAGAGAGAGAGAATTTGGAGCTTGCAGATTCCATTAATATATCACGGCGTGATTATAGTTCTCGCGACGTAAATCGCTTCGGAATTCGCCTCGGCAATCGTCATCTTCGAAATATTACCGCCAAGCAAGATATTATCCTTCGCTTTGCTCGCGGGTGCTTATTAAAATTATCAGATGCCAGTCGCAAGCGAGGCAGATTGACAACGTCAAACTTCGAGCTTATCTTTTAGGATACTTGCGTTGAGTGTTTAATGCAATAATATGGAGTATCGCAAGTCGCAATGTAACTACCTATTCATACATATAGTCTCTTAGGATATTCAAAATTCTCGATTCTCGAAAGAGACCGATTTGTTTTCAGGTAACTGACGGTTAACTGTACGTTGTGTTATAATTTACCTGTTATAACATTTAATTGTAATACAAAGTTAACGGTAGCGGCAAAACAATTGGTATACTTTCCATTTCTACGTAATTCAATGCGATCGATGCACGAATAAAGAATTAATTTCTCGTGTTCGATAGTTGTGCAAGTCCGAGTCAATTGTTTTGCGTCGAAATAAATCCGTCCGAGGAATCCGATATTACATGATATTACATTAAGCGCGTGATTTTCTACGAACTGCATTTTGTAGAGCGTGGGTGCGTAGAAAATGAAGTCACATTGTGGACGCTTTCTTTATACATGTAACTGTAAATCAAAACCGATAATAAAGTTATGCATATTTTGAAACGTTTGAAAAGAATACCGAGACCGGCGTTAAGCGCACATGCTAGATCGATGAATAAAACATAAAGCGCGCGCGAAAGGAATATGAAGCGCGGATAGTGGGGTAATAAATCACATCGAAAAATTATATGGAACAAGAGTTATCAACATCGTTGAAGTTTTTTTTTATCTCGACGTCAGTTACATCGAGCTTTCACGATGTCTTTTAACAAAGAAAATCGCTGTCGCGAGCAGGATTCGATGTCGAAGAAAGGGGAGAGAAAAGAGATGCCCGCGAGATAAGAGAAATTAATGAAACGCTTGTATTTAACTTACGGAAATACGGTTAACGCGAAATGGGAGTGTTGAAGCGACGCGCCCTGAAAGCCTTTTTATCGGGCGGAATGGCGCGCTTTATTGTTAGAAATTAATGTAACTGCAGATGATAACTCTCTTATATATAGATACTCTATCTGAATATATATTTTTATATCGAATTTTGTAACAGATGCGAATTGCATTTGGATCGTCCGAGCGTTCCCGATACGCGGATGTACTTTGTGTAATAATATTCCAGGGAGCTCGCGTAAGCGCGAGTGAAATGAGTGCTCCATGGGAATTGGACATGTATAATGAAACGGGGGGGGGAGGAGAGGGGGTGATCGGATTGACGGAGAAACGATGGGTAAATCGTCTGGTAAGACGGCGAAGGACGATTCATTCGTTGTGTCATTGATCGATAAGCGGTGATAAGTAAGTTCGAACTAAACTCCTAAATTATAACTCCTAATAAATGCTGACAGCCCACGAACCACGCGTTGTTTGAGTGCATTGTAAATCATGTAACCCTCGTCGCTTCATATTACTCCGCGGGAGATTAATTTACACGGCTCGACGTGCTGTCGAAGTTATGATAAAATAGCACGAGTTCTCGCGACGGCGACTCAGGCCCGCGCGCGAATAAATGGAAAAGTGTAATACGATCTTTGAGCGAGTTTCGGAGAGCATGGCTATTAATAAAATTGATTACTAAAAACAGGTTTGTGTACTGTTGTTCTTTTATTGCCGAATAAACTCGGTGTCACTTCTCATTTTACCGACGAGATCCAGCGTGTCTGTACTGAGCATCGTCTTGTTTGTGAAAGATTTCACCGCTTCAATCTCAGAAGAATATACTTTCTTCCACGGTATGCGTGACGATTTTACTTGAGCGATATTGAATCAACACATCTGGCTAGATCCGGAAAATCATGAAATAATCTAAATTTCAATTTCAATAAATGTGTAAAATGCAGTATAAAATGAAATGAGGAATGGATTCAATTAATGTTGGACCTATTACATTTTTCAAACACACCGATTACCTCCTTCCATACACGTTCATATGAAATTAATTCTAATACTACTGAATAATATATATTCATATCGGAGAAAAGAGAATATAGCGCGTAAAAAGTGAAAGGTAAGAAATATAGCACGCGGGAAGATGCCGATGCGAGGCGCAGCATCTTCCATGACAATCAGATTGCGTCGCTCGCAAGAATTCATTCGGGTTGCTCGCCCGGAACAATCGAGGAGGACGTCTAAATTAATTACGGGGACTGGGGAAAGAATTCCGCAAAGCGGGACGCGGCGAATTCATCAAGAGCATCGACAGCAGCCTCGAGCGATCGCGGCGAATGATCCTGAGGTCACATTAAAAGGAGAGACAGAAGATGACAGAAAGAGAGAGAGAAAGAGAAGGGGTGGGGGAAGGGCGGGAGGGAGACAGATCACATGAGGGAGTCTCTATAATTGCTTCGCGATGTCCTCCTTGATCGATACCCCAGTGGAAAAAGACGTGGCAAAGGCGCGCCCCGCCGGCTGTCTCGCTCTCACTCGCGTAGATATATGCGCTTGTTTTTCCAAAAACAAGTTCGTCCGTCCGCGAGTACCGCGCGTACGTATGTACTTTCCTTCTTCGACCATGCGGGGCGGATCGACGCATGCGTTTTTCTCGCGCGCCCGCGTACCCTTCGCGGGATTATCTTGGCCGTGAATCGAGCAGTCTTCCACGGTCGTTCCCGAGCTTGCTCCCGATCCGCGGGGGCGCGCGTTCTCCTCCTGAGAGAGGATCGCGCGACCGCTCTCGAGCCCTCCACTCGAGACGCTCTCTCAGAACACAGCGTGCGTGTCTCTCGGTAAGCCGCGCTATACACCTGTATAATCGTGATACATACGTCAAGTAGTAAAATGACTGCGAAAGGGATTGACGTGGCGTGGGACACGTGCCGTTTAAAGGTAAGCGAGAATCGTGACGTGAGGCACACGTTAAAAGTCACTTGCCTGCAGTACGAGTGGGTAGTCGTGTTTAATAAACTTGATGTCAAACGTCGTTTAATTTATCGAAAATTTGAAGCGCATTAAATGTACACGTTAACGTTGACGCGAGCGCGCGATTTCTATTTGTCAGTCTTGTTGTGCACTTGAATTATTGTTAAGATTCGGACACAATGGTCCTCTCGTCGCGTCGCAAACTCGTTACGTTTATTCAAAGTGTTACTCGTTGCCGAGATGTTTTACCGTCGCCCGTGACGCCGGTGACGCGTCTGAACTATTTAAAAGGATGGAACAGATGCTTAAAGCGCATGCATGTTAATTACAAGTTATACGACGTATATTCCATACACGGAAACTCTCTCGCAACACGGAGTTTCGCCAGCGACGTGTAATTGCATTCAAAGTTACCTCCTCGTGATTAATGACTGAAATTAACCACAAAAGCATGTTAAACAATTTTTTTTCCTTCTTTTTTATTTAACACAAGCAGTTCGAATCAATCGATATTAATTATTTCGAAACTTGACAGAACGAAAGAGAGTTTTCATTAGATCTTATTTCTGCAGAATTATTTTCTGTAGAGAGAGGCTCGATTAGAGCTAGAGCAAAGCGCGGATCGCAATCAGGCTGCGGCTAACGATTATCTTTATAACGCATACATGTGAAGCGTGCAAAAACTAAGTTTAACGATCAATAGCTGCTTAGCACGAACGGCCGTTTCGCGTGGCCGAAGCTATAGAGCGCGTAAAAATTTTAATAATAATTAAACTCTGTGACATATTTGCATATTTTAAATAGAAAGTTTCAATTAATTGCCGTCGTCAGTGATGCGACGATCGCAAATAGCCAGTCTATTTTCGTGTAACGCCAATTAAAATTCATTTATACAATCAACACGCAGCTTAATTAGCAAGACGTTTAAGTCGAGGGTTACAAGCGGGTCGGTAGCGCGGAACGATGAAGTTTGGATTAATTTGGAAATCTTCTCCGGAGAGGGAGAGAGAGAGAAAGAGAGTGAAAACGAATTCAAACTCCGAATTTAATCAGGGTGGCCGGTACTCAAATTTTATAAAAGAATTTCCTAAAAATTCCCGGATTTTCCAGGAATTTTATTCAAAATTTCATGTAAGATTAGAGAATTTCTCAATACAGCTTTAAAATAAATTAGGCATTAAGAGTTCTAATAACGTATAGAACTTGATACGTGAAACAATTGAATCTTCTCATACATGTACAATAATTACATCTCCATAAAAAATTTTTCGAACGTAACGAAAGATTTTGTATGCAGATGTAACTACATATGTGAAGATTAAATTGTTTTACGCACCAATAAGTTCTACATTATTAGACTCTTAATGCTTGATTTATTATTTCTGGATTATCGTTTTTTAGATTGAAGAGTCTTTATATAATATATGTCAATTTTAAAATAAATTAAGTTTCAATATCAGGGGCCTTTGATATGGGGCCACGTTTAATTTCCAAAGGGATAAAATTAAATTTAAAAAATTCAAAAAAATTCTCTGAGTACCAGTAAAATTCCATGGGAATTCATGATTTTCAAAGGTAAAAATAAAATTCCCTGAAAATTCCAGGTTTTCCCGGTTTTTCCCGGTAGTACCCACCCTGTTAACGTATGGATCATCGAAATTAACGTTCGCGAGAGGTTATATCGTGCACTCCTACGTAGATTTAATTAAACGTTACGCACTGCACGTGTTATTCCACGTTCATGGAAGAATAAATAGCGAAAAATAAAAAAAAAGTGCACCTGCTTCTTGGCGCAAACTTGCGTCGGATTCTCTTGCGAGAATTCCCAGGTGCGTGAGCTCGTGCATAACTGACGCGCAGTAAGGGCTCGTGCACGATTACTCGTTTAAAGGGTAGGCAATCGTTCACGCACGGGTAACCTCGCGACGCACAGACGCTATATCGTGACGATGCCGCGCGCTCGAAACACGGAAGGACTCGCGAATAATTTTCCAAGTTACGATTCGCGGTGTCACGCTGTTTACGCGCGAGAGTCCGAAATGACTTCGAATCGAGAATAACTTCGTGAATTTGTGAGGCTGAACCTGTTAATCTCAGCTTCCCTTGGACAACTTGCTTTTATTTGAAATAATATTGATATTCATCGCGAGTAAGTGGAAAAACGCGTTAAAGAGTTCTAATTACGGTCCGAGTTATTTTGACAGAATGATTCCAACGTTAATATAAAATGTAATGTAAAATTTTTTTTTTAATCCCGATAATAATTCCGATAAGAACGTGGAATACGTATAATACTATAATATTTGTTAACGAAGTGCAACATTCTTTTTTAGATCCAATAATTTTAACAAGGTGGTCCTCTGTCGTTTATTCCGTTATTATCCACGAAAGAAAAAAGTGCGACAAGGAAATCGTGGCGAACCTAACAATTTCAACAGTACGATCTTTACCGTCGGATCGCGCGTACTTCGCATTCAAAAAGAAACGAGTGAAACGCACGGGGAAGATTCTCTTTTATAAGCGACAATAATCGCAAATACGGAGTGACAGCGTTCGCAGCATCCGCTCTGTCTGCGACGGGCCGTTAATTGACTCGGCGAGGCGCGAGCGATAGTTTAATAGCCGCGCGTTCGCGCGCGAACAGAGAGGCTACTACCTACCGGTGAGAAGGGGGTGCGAAGGGAGAAGAGCGGGGTCCACACAGGAGAAGAGAGCATCCACGGCGAGGGATGACGACGCGAGTCTACGTGGGGTGCCGAGAAGCGGATGGTGGGGCTGGATGGTTGAGCAAAGCGGCAACGGACGACGCGAGTTATGGTGGCGAACGACGCCGGTGGATGGTGGGGCTGAAAAGCGGCGCGGCCAGTTACGCTCGTACGGGATAAGCCCGTCGTGCACCTGCGATCGAGTCGGGAGGGCGCGGAAAGTAGATTCGACGAGGATACCGGAACGGTCGCACCGGAGAACCGGAAGAGGAATTCGCCGCTCCGGGAACGATGACACCGCTCATCTTGGCGAGACACCATCACGTCGAGAAATCAGCAAACGCGAGTACGGGGATACGAGTGGCCGAGGCGAGTGATATCTCTCTCCGTGACGGACGGAGGGAACTCGATTAACGAACTGATCTCTCCTTCGGAGCGAGTTCCTGCGAGCCACTTCCGAAAGAAACCGGGAGAGAGAGAGATCGTTTTATGCGCGCGACAGAGCGGAGAGCGCCTTAAACGAAAAGTTTCGGAAAGTCTCACGTGTAATTGAGAGGGATCCGTGTTCATCCCTCATAAATGTTTGCTCGTGAAACTCAAACTGGGATGCTGATGCCGCCTTCGCCGTGCCGAGCCGTCGAAGACCCTCGCGACGGAGAACCGGATCCGACGAGGATAAGTTTCCTCGTGGATGGAGATTACGCCGGCTGAATGGAGAGTCTTCTCGTCGCGAAAGGGCTGCTCGCTGCTCCCGGGACGCATGACTGTTGTTCGACGGTGGAAAATTTTCGCTGGTCACGAACGCGAGGATACGTGATACCGACGTTGGGAGCGTAGAGCGGTCGCGCCAGCAATTACGTTTTCGTCGTTGACGATTGAAAAACATGACGGGGAATGGTCGCGTAACCGGATCGTGAACAACCGCCGGCGTGGATAGAGTGATATCGAAGATGAGTTCTCTACGACGGACGATCAATCAGTCGGCTAGGGAAGGCACGTCCATGCGAAGACACGCGCTCTCCGGGCCCACCACGAAGAGCATGAAGAACGTCACTCATACGAACGCGGTGCCCGCTTCGCCGATGCGATACAGGACCAAGTACGAGCTGCGAAGCATCAGTTTGGAGGGCAACAAGGTGCTACCATGGACTACAAGGTAAGCAAAGTTGGATTATCAATTTTCTCAGATAGCGAATCTTTTCTGTACGCTTATAGACGTCTTTCGACTGCATCAAAACTCGTACCCCTATGAATATCACCAAGAAAATTGCTTATTTTTATCTCTAACTTCGTTGCTTTTATAAATTAACAACAATGCGTAAGTAATTGAGATAAATAATTAATAATTATACAATATAAAATAAACTACTTTTTTTTTCTCAAAGAACGATGCAGCCTTGACCTTAAATATAAAGCACCCTCAATTTACTGCATTTTCTTCGAAAATGCGATAATAGAAGCCAAAGGGGAATTAACAAAATATTAAAATTAAAAGTATTAGTTTTCAATAAAACTGTTTTTTTTAATATTTTCATTAGATATAGAACGTTTACATTAAATTGTATATAGGGATGTTTTATACTTATTGTTAGCCAAGACTATACACATAGAAATTAAATATTTATTTCGTATTAAATAAAAAATAAGTATGAATTACATATAATGTCGAAAGTTTTTTTTTTAACTTAATTTGTACGATCAAGGAGAAAATAAGTTGTTGCTCTAATAAACTTTATCTGTGAATTATTCAAGAGTAAAAAAAAAAGAACTTATGGCGAAGAAAAAGTTCGAAGAATAAGAAGTTGAGACTTCCAGTCTTAATCCCGAGAACTGGCTCGCTTGATATAGTCGGCTATATCAGCGCGGGCTCGCGGAAGCGTGTGTATCGTATAATAGTCTCTCCAGCGAAATCAATTTTGTGTGCTTCACCTTGGGTTGCCATGTATTCGGAACAGATACCGCCGCAACTTGGGAGTTTAATGGTTCTGAGATTAGGGCATTAAAGACAGCACGAAGCCACAAGCGAACCAATCAATCCGGTATAAAGCCGAACAATCGCGGTCCTCGCAATTGGTTTACCGCGACCGACGCTGTCGCTCGCTGATATTGATTGATGAGCAAGAGGGTTTCGATCCCCCCCGCGAGCGATACACAAGTACGCTTCCGCTTAATTATTTAATCCCAGAGACGAGACGAATCTCCGTGCCTTCCGTTCCGGAATTGCAAATCGCAAATGAATTGTTGATTGTCAAAGTTACATTAAACATTAAAATTATCGCCCGGTTCGAGAACGCGAAACTTATACATTGCAACTTATTACCATGTCGTCGTTCTCGTATAGTTGAAACGAAATACTTCTTAAGCATTTTTTTATCATGCTCTTCTTGGCTATTTAGAAGTTTATAATTAAGAAGATCGTATTAGCTGTATAGCTGTCAAATGAAATTTTTCACTCATATTCATCGACAAGATACTTTCGTCAGATCTTTAAATTCAAATTTAATTATTTTATTTCAATTACTTGTATATGCACTTAAACATAATATGACCGACATAACATGATGTGAATAAAAGTTCGCAGAATATTCGAATTACGTACGTTCAAGACTGTTCCGATCGTAATATTATTGCTCCGATAAGAAATTCTTCCGATTTATTTTTTCTCATAATACGAACGTGTATACATTGTCAGTCGGATAAAATTTGCTTGGAAGTTTGATAGAGAATTTTTACAATTATCAATAATGTATAGACACTGGATTTTACATTTTAGTTAAAAAAAAAATACACAAAACGTTGTACATAAATTTCTAGAACTTTGCTCGACTTTTGCGAGCAGCATCTGTTTTTATTCCCAAAACGACGTCATCTCGAACGACTCGAACATTCGTGCGACAGTACTGTTTGCTAAACAAAAAAGTCGCGAAAGGAATTCGGCGGAAACTTTTAATTAGCGAGCATTCGAGTGGGTTGATGACTTTAAAACTTAATTAGTTTCGTAATCTCGATTGACGAGTATCGAATGGGATCGTCAACCGTGCAGCTTCTTAATTGAGTCAAAGTCAACCGATCCGCGAACCGATGCGAATGCCATTGGCGCGCGATAAAGCCTGATAATCGGCAACGAGCGACGCAGATTGCAGCGTGCAAAATCCGGGGCGGATGCGGACGCGCTCTTTAATCTCCCCGGACAACGACGTACGTAAATCTGCGATACAAACGTGCATTTAAACGGTTACGAGTGCGCGGCTTATAATGCCGTACGATTTACGAGCGGCCGGTTGAAAATATAATTTGAGGGGGTCTTACATCTTGGAGAGAGAAAGGGAGAGCGAAAGAGAAAGAGAGAGAGAGAGAGAGAGAGAATGATGCGGCGTGGCATCGCGCGGATTATTCTTGGCGTATCGTTCGACTGCACGCGGCCGGGCACGTGCCAGATACGGTGCGCCATAAAGATACACCGAAACGATAGACCGGGGCCCCTTCCCTCGGGATCCACCCCATTATTTCTGATCAATTTGCAAAGTTAACGTGCGAAGACTGCTCGCGTTATCGTTCAGGTCCGGACGCGAGCGACGCTCGTAGGTATACCCGTATACTCGCATCCCCGCGACATCGATTTTTAATACGCCAGGCTACAAGCGCACTTAATTAGCTCCTTTTAACGACCGGAGCGTGTTTGAATTAATTCCGCGTCGGAACGTTCTCGTGATGTAATCGAACGGCGAATGTTGTGCTTTCGACTGTTACGCTTACCTATAATATGCCACATAATCTTCGATTTATCGAGCCCGAGCGGAAAGAAGGGCGCAGCTAACGGAGGAAACGAGGAAAAGAGAGAAAATCTGCGCGCGCGATGCTCTGTTTCCCGGAACAAGAGATAGCCAAAGTCAAAACGCCAATTTTCGAATACCGGAGAGACGTACGACTCGACGTGACAAATGAGCGAGACAATAGCGAGTACGGGAAGAAATTATGTCATTAGCAAATTTTGTTATTAAACACCGATGAATATTCAACAGCGACACGATTCGTTAATGCGGTCCCGTTGATGTAATTAGTTAGAATTTACAATAACGTTTTATGATTCATGTTTATTCAATTGCGTCTGGATGTATTACAATTAGGATATCACATTGCGAAATCGCGGCGCACACGACGCAAGATATTTCCCCTTCGGTGTTTCCAGCAAATTCCATTACTGTTTTCGACTATTGTGTTACACTCACGGGATCGTAAGCGTACCTGAATCGTTCAAAATTTAATTGCTTTATCCGGCAACGGTGCGTTCAAGCGCGAGACACCGCCTTCTTTATGATCCACTTCGTTTCCCTGCCGGGATAATGAGATTAAAGCCCTCCCTGCAAAGACGCGTAAACTACCGAAAGCGGGTACGTTTTGCCCGTAAAAGGTACCTTCTGGCGTCACAGTGTTATAATGTCAGGGTAAAGAGTCCCCCCTTGTATATACGCTCGCACTTTATCAATACATTTCTGATGATCCGCGCCAAGGATATCGATGCGAGCACTGCAAAAAAACTCGACTCATCGAAATTCCGTCGATATTCCTCAGTCGATAGACTTAACAGCTTCGGAAATGTCTCCCCCTCCCCCACCGAGACATCGATTCGTTGTATTATTATCTAGGGGAATATTTCTTAGTCTGCCTCGAGAACACTTTGCTTACGCTTTGTTGTAAAGCATATAGTAAAGAGATATCGAACAGAAAGTGGGAAAAAAAAATCTTAAATCCACGTATATGTGCTCACGCTTTTTGCGTCAACATTATTATCCTAACGGCATAATTTTTAAATCTATGTTTTTTTAAATGTAAATAACAAAATTATACGAAAGTATCTTTCGATGAGAATTTTCGCGGAACTACTCGCGAGACGTCAGCGGTCCGTGGTTAATTATAAAAGAGATCGGTCCAGATACAATCCCGATATTAATCCGAGAGGAATTACGGCCGGCAGCAACAGCAGCAGCGGTATAACAACAACGCGATATCGCCGGCGAGTGGCTCCGCGATATCGGATTTCGGTGCCTCGCTCTTTATAATTAACCCTTTTGCTATTGGACTCTGGGCCGAGTGTCCGTTGCCGTTCTTTTGTGTCAAGCCGATCAATCTCGATCACGCTTGACCGAGCGGAAGTCGACCGCGCGCGGCATCTCGATGGCGAGCGTAAGGGGGCACCGGGGCGAGGCGGAAATATGGAGCACATATAAGGGAGGCGAGAGAGATGAGATGCGACGTGGCGAGGGGTGGAGGACGGGGGTGAGAAAGGGCGACGCGCGCGCGAGGGGGGGGAGGGAAAAAAAATCCGCGGAGGAAAAACGGTCAGCATTACACGGTCAGCGAGGTGGAGGAGTCGGTATCGGGTGTTAAGCCGACGGCATTATGGTCGCGGAAGCACTCGGGCGTTTTCGATGACCCTCCCTCCCTCCCTCCCCCTCGCGCGTGTGTGCCCGCGAGAGTATATCGTTCAATTACGTCACCGCGCGCTGGTGGCCCGCATTCGAAAGCACGGGTATATCGATTTTGTCGATGCATAACAAGACTTTCGTAGGTAGCCGACAACGACGACGACGCGCCGCGCCGGTCCTGTCCGTCGCGGACAGAGGCTACTGAGAATCCCCCGGCATGCTCTTTGACGCGCGAGAGTTAATATGCCCTTCGCTACTTCTAGGCAGCTTCCAATGACTCCGGGTCGTTAACCCTTTCGGCCGATAGATGTTTAACGGCGAAGGTAAATATTTATACAACAGAATTTGTCGCGCTCGTCACGAGGCTATAAATATAGGTTTTACGCGCGAGCGTGGCTAGGTAATATGTGCAACGTATATGATATACGTTACAAGTATTCCGTGGATAACGCGCTAGTGGTTCGCAGTGAGCGATAAGTAATCGTAAATAAATACGTAGTGAACGTGGAAAGACTGAGGCTTTTAAGAATAACACCAGAGTTAAAAGTTTATTAAAAATTGAAAATCCAATTCAGCTCCTTGATAACGGATTGCGAGAAGAAATTTAGAAAACTTCTTATTTTACACATTTCATTCTAACATCGAGTATTGTATTGCAAAACTCAACGTACGTTTGCTCCAAATCTTTTTCCTTTTTGTTTGCACTACTTTCTTCGCACTGACGTCAGTC